ATTTGGTTTTCTTTCACTACAANGTTACAGAATTTTCCACAATCAAATTAGAACAAGATGGATTACAATACTTGGTTGGTTGGTTGGATGGCAAAAAATTAAAATCGTCTCATCCACATTTTGGCGATTATGTTTATAAACAAAAAAGAGATCATGATTATTGTTTACCACCTTGGAAAAAGTATTTGGAGGATTGATGGACTAGTAAAAATTTTTTAATTTTATTTCAAATTTAGAGAAGGAATTTAGAAAGTATATGGGACATGGTACTAATAGCTCAAGAGAAATTAAAAAAAAAAACTTCTAAAAATGTTGTTTATCAAACAGACAGAATATTTATTCGCATCAATTATTTATATTATAAATATGATTGACTAAAAAAATCAAAACATTTCAAAAGACGGATTAACGACATAAAAGATAAAATGAATGGGAAAATTATTAGTTAGTTATTAAATAGTTATTACTTAATTTTGTTAATAGTTATACAGGGGATCCTGATTTCACGATCCATTTAACTAACTTCTATATAAACGTGAAATCTCCACCACCTACAAACCTAACAAGACCATAGGAGCTTCTCTCATAAATCCAAAGGACAAACTGAAACTGAAATACCTAGGAATTTATTTCATCCCCCGAGGCTCGTGCGACAAAAACTATAGGGGACAGACCAACAGAAGAATAACTGCCAGAGTGGAGCAACACAAGCTGGAACACAACTTTGAAGGCTGCAAGGAAATAGCCAACGTTCCACATTGGAGGACCAGAGTTATTCGCGAGTCCATCGAAATAGCGGAGAACGATAACCTAAATAAGAGAGAAAACGCCCTACACTCATCAGCCACGTGAAAAACAGTCCTACACCGTCCCCGATCCAGAACAGCCTTCTCGAGACATGAACCATCAGACTCCGGACAACAGGTCAATAAACTCCTGCACCACCTATTATGACATCCGGTGGAAAAACCTCAAAGCCAAGCCCCTACCACCGATCAGTCGCTACAACCTAAAACCGAGACGGACTACTATAAAAGGAGCACCAAACACCGCAGTACCACAATAACCAGAAGTAATACTGGCAGTATCCCGCCAAATCGGACGCCATACAGTGTACTCTTACAATAGCAAGAATCATAAGGAGGCAGTTTTTAGATACATGATAGACAGCCATCGGTACCCCGATGAATGAACAAAATTTCAACAAAGAAATAAAATACATAATAAAGCTTGAAAACTTGTGGTTGAAAGTTCAGTGCGGTCAACTAAACTTTCTCTTGTGCTGTGTTTATCTTCCTCCTTCTGCTGATGTAGCGCTGAATCTGTTTTTGTCCAGTGCCATTTATTCATATTGTAATTTCAGTCAATTTAATAATGTATCGAATATTAATACTAGAATTCTTGATCTTGTTCTATGCGCTAACGGTCGAGTCGAAAGCATACACCTGTGCAATGATCCACTTGTGGATTTTGACTGCCACCATCCACCGTTTGAATTCTTAATATCAGGCATGTTCACTTGTCTGAGTGATGGTCCGAATGTTCGCTTTCTTTTTAAGAACGCGAATTCCGGAGCTATCAAGTGTTTCTTAAATAGCATCGATTGGCAGACTGTTTTTGTTGGGATGGGCGTGGAGAGCATGGTTGAAGTTTTGTATGACCGCGTTAATTATGTAATTAACAGAGACGCTCCTTAGCGCATTCTACCTAAGTAACGTTTTCCTTATTGGTACAAACGTTCAGCAATTCGAGTAATTAAAGAAAAGCTACTTTACCATAAAAAATGGAAATCCACTCGCCAGCTTTCTCTATCTTTCGCTCCAGGTCTAAGCGGTTTATTACGGGGGTTATGGAAAATCCCAAATGAATCTGGTCCTTTGTTAAGTCCAGGGAGGGGAATGCATCTGGCATGCCAACCTCCATGTTTTCCGCTGATGGGTCAGCGGTGACCTCAGGTCCTGATATCTCTTGTGCATTTGCAGAGTATTTCGAATCGGTTTTTGTAGATGGTACCGTTGACCGTTCAATGGTCTTCGGTGGCCAGGGTGTTTCACCTTGGTTCTCTGCTGACGTAGTCCTTAATATTTTGACCCATCTTGACAAGTCCTCTAGCTCTGGTCCGGATGGTATTCCATCTTCCTTTTTGAGGGAGTTTGCTGCCGAACTGTCGACCCCACTTTTTCTTATTTTTTCAAAATCCTTACTTGAAGGTACTTTCCCGATAGCGTGGAAGACAGCTTTTGTGATTCCAATATTTAAATCCGGGAATAGACAGTTGGTATCTAATTACCGTCCAATTTCTATTCTCTCATCTATTCCCATGGTTTTTGAAAAAATTGTTTACGATTACTTTAACCACTCTATTGCACACTCTCTCAATACTGAACAACATGGTTTCGTGCCTGGGCGATCGGTTGAGTCTAACTGAGTGTTTTATGTTAACTTTATTCATTCTACCTTAAATGAGGACTCACAGGTTGACGCAATCTATACCAATTACTCTAAAGCCTTCGACAAGATTGACCATCGAATTCTTATACCAAAGCTGCCCTCGTTTAACATTCCTGTCGGGATTGTACGCTGGATAATATAATATCTATAGCTTTCTATCGGACCACAAACCCATCTCATCTGGCGTGCCTCGGGGAAGTCACCTTGGGCCTACACTATTTCTAATTTACATAAACGACATTTCTTCTTGCTTTAATTTTTCCAAATTCCTGGTCTATGCGGATGATAATAAAATATTTTCCAGAGTCAGCTCTAGTCATGACTGCCTGAGGCTCCAGGAGGACCATGATCGTCTGAATGATTACTGTCGTTAACAAACTTTATTTGAACTATGACAAATGCCAAAAAATAACGTTTACATGGAAACGCTATCCTATTAATTTTAATTACAACATTAATGGTAGACCTATTAGCTCTACTGACAGAGTGAAGGATCTTGGCATTATACTTGATGCCAAATTGAGATATCACCTTCACACCGAATGCATGGTGGCGAAAGCCCTGCGTAACTTAGGGTTTGTTATCAGAATAAGTAGATATTTTACCAATTTTACAAGCATTAAATCATTTGTTAGTAGCGTATTGTCCTAGTGTTCCATAGTGTGGAATCCTATGTACGCGGTCTATCGTGATAGCATCGAAGCGGTTCAACGACGATTTGCACGCTATTTGGCACATAAATTTCATCTACCTTACTGCGATTACGATAGGCGTTGCGTAGCCTTCAACTTATTGTCTCTCCAGCAACGCTGAATTGTTTCTGACTTGATCTTCCTTTTCAAGCTTGTTAACGGCATGCTGGATGCCCCCGATCTTCTGCCCGAATTGAGCTTTAATGTACCACAACGGCTTACACGTTACAACGCCACATTTCGTCTTAACATAGCTAACACCAATCTTTATCAAAACTCGCCATTAGTTCGAATTCTTAATTCCTATGACCAGGGCTTCAACCATGTATCTCTCTTTGACGTTTCTATACGCTCTTTCAGAGAATGTGTACTAACTAACGTATAGCGGATGTTTTATTGATCGCCTTATTGTTGTAATTATGTTAGTTTATGTTACATTTTTTTTTAATTATTATGAGAATGCTTTGTTGGGGATATTCTCCCTGTATGCATCCCGAACATGTAATAAATAAATAAATTATTGTTTTGTGTATTATTTTTCATCTTATTGCAAGTTACAATTCAATAATTGTAATAGTTATAACGGGTGGCGCATAAGTAACGTTACGATTTAATTAGTGAATAAATTTCTTGTTGACGTATTTTTAAAAAATTCTTTTTGAGTATTTACTTTGAAAAACTTGAGAAATTTATGATGGAGAGACTCAGCACAGAACAAAGAACCCACGTCGTTCAATTTTATTTTGAAAGTCAGCATTCCATTATTCAGACATAAAGATCATGTAGAAATTTGTTTCGTGTTCGAAATGCACCTAGCGCTCCAAAAATTTACCGATTGGTTCAGTGTTTTCGGCATCAAGAGGCTGTCTGTGATCTTCCGCGTGCTGCGAGACCTTGTGCAGTTCGAAGTGATGTCAATATTGCTCGGAAGCAAGCAAGTATTGAGGAAAACCCCGAAACTTCCACCAGGCGATGTTCTCAGCAGTGATTGAGCAATGATTGAAAAATTTTTAAGGCCAGTGGTAGAGAACAATCCAGAATAGTGGTACCACGAAGATGGAGCCACAGCTCACACAGTTCGTCCAACTATGGCTCTCCTGCGCGAAATTTTTGGCGAACGAATAATGTCCTGTTTTTCTGATTTTAACTGACCATCGCGTTCGCCCGATTTAACGGCTCCCAATTGGGGCTACCTAAAGGGTAAGATGTATGCCAATAAGCCAAGAACCATCCAACAGCTTAAGGCCAACATCCGAAAATAAGCTGGGATCTGAAATTCTAAGAAAAGTTATGGAAAATGCTCTGTCAAGTCGAAGCAAACAATGGGCACCATTTGAAAGATATTATCTTCAAAACATAATGTGAACATATTTCCAAACTATACTCTTAATTTTAATAAATGCCAACGTTAAATAAAATCACAAAGGAAAAAGTTATTCATTAAATAAACCATAACGTTACTTATGCGCCACCTTATATTTGTTACAATTGTTATATGGTGTACAAAAAAATAAATACATCTCTATATTGGTCATTTATTTAATCAATTTAGAAATTTCTATTTTATTTATTATTCTAATTTGTTGGCCTAAATAAATTTTGTTCTGTCTCATTATGTTAAAATTACAAATAAATGTTTAAAATTAATGTAAAATAAATTTAGCAAAATGTTTAAAATATTTACCAACATTTATATGTTTAAAAGCATTGCGAATTTACAATTGGGAAGCGATGTTGCCAAATCGTTACTATATTACTAGAATGTGTTTATCAAATCTCTATCATTTTTTTTTTGGTAATTTTCTGTTATCTACGCTATGCATTCACATTACAAATAGTTGGAGGAAGGAGTGGTTTTCCTCGTTCTCACCGAACATAATCTTTTTGATGAATTAAAGAATACAAAAATTCAACTTTATTATTTATAGTTGGGCTTTAAAGGTTTTGTAACAAATCTATTCGAAATTTATAGTAAGTAAGCAAATTTATTTAATAATTTTTTAATTGAGTTATTAATTTTAGATTTAGGTTAAAAATTGAGGTATAAATTAATGCATAAATTTTAAATAAAAATGGCTGGTAATAACAAAGTAAAATCAGGTAAAAATATTAAAGGACGTGAAATGGATGTGATTACCAAAAAAACTATCGATAATGATTTCGTAAACTTAATAACTTTCATAAACCAGAAGAAAGAAGAAGAATTTATAAATTATTTTAGATCTAACGAAACGAAATGTTTTCAAATTTTTAAAGAATATAGGCGTAGTACCAATAATTGTTCGCTGTTGGAAGATGGCTTAACAATTATTGGTTGGGCTTGTGAAAAACATTTAATAAAAATTATAAAATTTTTACTCCCCATAGTAATTCATAAACACAAAATGGAAATGAACAAACAAATTTTAAATATATTTTCCAAATATGGTTTTCCTACGATGTTCGAAGAATTATTTCGAAATAAAATTTATTATGACTCTCATTTCTTGCATCTCATATTGATAACGTTATTGCAAAATTGCATTATATATGAATCTGACAATGTTCGTAATTACAAAGCTTGTATAGCGGTTATTTTGAATCAAGATTATTTAAAAATTGCGACCAATGAAGTTGACGTCTACGGAAACACAGTGTTACATTATGCCGTGCAATATGGAGATATTGATACAATTAATAATTTATTGAAAAGAAATGCGTTTTTAGATATTACAAATAAAGCGGGAGTTATGCCTGTTGATATTATTTCCGCCGAAGACTTAGAAAAGATTTTGGACGCTTGCATAAAAAAGCAAACACCAACCACTCAGGAATCTATATACAATTTGAATAGAAGAAATCAGATAAATCAAAGATCTATCAAGTTTGATTACACATCATTATTTTCTAAAGGAACGTCAGAAGCAAATGTAATCTTGCGTATTGGCAAAAACCCGAAATTACAACATTTATTAAAACACCCGGTTATTTCAACCGTTTTGTATCTAAAAAATTATAAAATGCGAAAGGTTTTCATAATTAATTTAGTTTTTCACGTAATTAATGTTGCCTTTTTAATTGGTTATATACTTAGTGGCAATTCGCCCTCTTTCCGTTTTATGTTTTGTTGTTTATTATCCGTTACGTTAATCATATTTATTTTAAAAGAGCTAACACAAATTATTTTAGCACTAAATATCTACATTACCGACCCCGAAAATTATTTAGATATATTTATATTAACTACATCTGGTTATATGTTATCTAATGTTCTATTTTATAAAGATGAAAAACCGAATTTAGCTTACTATTATGCCTTAGCTAGTGCTATTATCTTGACTTTAATAAATATAATGTTCTTGATAGCTAGATGTTTACCTTTCACAATTTACGTCTCGGTTCTTAAGACAGTCACATGGAATTTTTTTAAATTTATTATTTGGTCTTCTATTTTACTTATCGCTTTTGCTTTCGGGATGTATATAATTTATAACATACCATCAGAAAACAACAAAAACGAGAGCTACAACAATAATAATAATAACGTAACATCAACATTTTTTGATGACCCAATTTTAACGTTTTTAAAAGTCGTTGTAATGTTAATCGGTGAATTAGACGCCTCGTCTTTATTGGAAGAGGGAAATTTAAACAGAACTTTAAGTCAAATATTTTTTTTATTTTTTATTTTCTTTGTAACAATTATTCTTTCTAATGTTATAAATGGTTTAGCGATAAGCGATATTCAAGAGATAAAAAAGAAAGCAAAAATTCTAAGCTTACTGGAACAAATCACTCGCATAGAATACTTTGAAAGGATGCTCTGTAGTAGTACGTTTGTATCAAAAATCTTTAATGCTTGCTTATCTAATGCCTTCATGTCGAATGTTTGTGACAATTGTGGAATTGAACTTCGTAATGTTAAGAAAGAAATGTATCTCTTTTCTTACGACGACGAACAAGATTTTAACTGTAGAGTTATTGATATAACACTTCATAACCTTGTAAACGAAATAACCAAAGGTTGTCAAAATTGTTGTGAAGGCGAAATAAAGGTACCTCTTAATTATATAGATGTAGAGATATTGAATAATACGAAGGAGGCTATTCAAAAACTAAGGCAATGTTAAGTTTTATAAAAATGCTCTCTATTACGTATTATCTTTTATAATTTATACTTTTTTATATATTTTTTAATAATATATATATGTTTTTAAATATTTTATAAAATAAATAATTACTTGGAATATTTTTGTTTAATTTAAGATCTTATCTACTTACTACAGCTACGAAATCTATATCCACAGCAATACGACCAACATTATTGACATGACACCTCCACAACATACAGTTAACCGAACTCAGATCACTAGAGATATAAAAATTCCTTATCTACCTGGTCTCACTAAGCACAACTGAATTTCTTGTTGTCCTCTGAAAATCTAAGGTTCTACCTCTTTCCTGTTTATTTTCAAGAACTAAAGAACCTGTACCGATGTTATCTAAGTCAAATGTCATCTGTAAGATCCTATGTAGCAATTGCGATGGTTCTTATATAGGAACTAATTTCCCAATACTTATCCAACCGTATCAAATTCAAATTGTTTATTGGTGATCATATCATTACAATGATTTTCACAAAAAAATTACAAAATACGAATTAGAAAAAGTACATATAAAATACAAAGTGTAAGGGACATCAGAAGGGCGCGACAGGTCAACACAAATCACTGAAGTCATTGGACAGGAATTCCCGAATAGAATAAAAAGCTTTCGCTATCAGATAGTTTTTCATTTTGAGCTTAAATTGATTTATATTCAAAAGTTTAACGTCATCAGGTAGAACGATATAAAACTTTATACCAAAGTAATTGGGTCCGTCCCTCGCCGTTCGAAAATAGTTGGTGATCAATCCATCACCCGCCCGAGTGTAGTAATTATGATATGAGTTAAAAGCAGGGGTGTGGAGTCGTCGCAAAAATACAGCGCCTCCGACTCCGCATCCGACTCCTATTTTTTTTTTTGCTTCGACTCCGACTCCTGATTTTTTTTTGTTTTAATACGACTCCGACACCTCAATATCTTGTTAGTTCGACTCCGACTTACTGAATTTTTTATTTAACGGAAAAATGCAAAATTCGGTACATTGAACGGTAAAACAGGCGCCATCCAGTGGTACGTATATTTACTAACGACTCGATAATACAGTTCCGGGCCGGGTTCCAGGGAACCACGGCTCTGTTGGATTAAAAAAAAACTTCATCTAACCGATTCTAACCTATAAAAAACAACCAACTCTCTTTGGCATCCGTTAACAACTTTCGAACTTCGAACTTCTTCAAATACCATTACCTGATTAATTGGTTATCATATTAATCATATTAATTGGTTGTCGATACCAATCTAATCTATTCCTCTAATATTAAGTATGTGAGTATTTAATATTGACTATTTTATTCATTATTATTTATTATACGATACGCAGAAGTTTGCTAATAAAGAGACACAGTGAATTCTTTATGTTATTACGATTTAACCAATATACTTGATACTTTTATACCAATGTCGCTAATTTAGGAGATACAGGTTATTCAAGAAAGTATTTGTTTAAATTTATCGTTTGTTGATTGTAAAGGATGGTACTTTTTTTTTGTAAACTGAATTAGGGTCTGTGGAAGTTATGCATCTAAAAAAGCATTAAATTTTACATAAAAAGGATGTTTTTATTTAGTTTATTTATTTTGCATAGCAATGATTATGTTTCAAGTATTTATCTTCATTGTTAATTTTTCCTTACTTTTCTGAATGATAACAATAAAAATTTTCAAAATTATAAAAAGTAAATATACAAGGTCTTTCAAAACATATATCTCAGAAAGGGTGCGTTTGTGGAACCATGTTTAATGGGAACTTTTTTTCTTACAATTAGGCAAGAAATCCCACCCTTTATTTTCCGACACATGTTTTGAAACACCCTATATTAAAAATACTTTTTTGTACAGCATGTATGTCCAAAGGGCAAAGACGATAGATACATAAAGAGATCACTGCTGCTCTGTTGTCCATTAACAACGGACGCGGATCACTCTGTCTAAAGCAAAAANTATACCAATGTCGCTAATTTAGGAGATACAGGTTATTCAAGAAAGTATTTGTTTAAATTTATCGTTTGTTGATTGTAAAGGTGGTACTTTTTTTTTGTAAACTGAATTAGGGTCTGTGGAAGTTATGCATCTTAAAAGCATTAAATTTTACATAAAAAGGATGTTTTTATTTAGTTTATTTATTTAGCATAGCAATGATTATGTTTCAAGTAATTATCTTCATTGTTAATTTTTCCTTACTTTTCTGAATGATAAATAATAACAATAAAAATTTTTTAAATTATAAAAAGTAAATATACAAGGTCTTTCAAAACATGTATCTCGGAAAGGGTGCGTTTGTGGAACCATGTTTAATGGTTATATTAATATATTATATTAATATAATATATATATATTTATATATTATATGTTAAAGGGGTTGATGGGATAACAGGATAGTTTAAGGATATAAACAGGATAGTAAACAGGATTTGATAGTAAACTATCCTGTTATCCCATCAACCCCTTTAACCCCCATCCCTATCAATTTATAGACTCTATATTACAACCAACCCAACATATCCCCCCAGGTTAAACGAGGATAACAAAACAAGATGCCATTTTGTTATTGCAATAACTCTGGATCCCATGGACATCATACCTATCCCTTATTATCCTACCCATAACCATTAAAAACACCCCTCTTCCTCCCTATTTTTTAAAAAAGTGGTTTTAATAATTATTGCTGTATGCGTTATAATAATTCGTTACTATTCTCAAATTATGTTTTGACTTCAAATATATTGCCAAACGGGAAAAATAAAATATCCCCAAACAAATTAACACATAACCTCAAACTAACTTTGACAACCAACTCCATGACGCTTCAATTATCTAAACTGTTTTATTAGGGCCGGTTTTATAAAAGTAGACGTTGACCGCCGGTTATCAAACCTCCGGTTGAGCAGTTAACCGAAGGTTGAACATCGATACGTTTTATGACAGGATTTTAACGTCCGGTTTATTTGCTTGCCGTCAACCGGCCGCGGTCAATGTTGGCTGCACTGCGCGCCAACTCTCAACCAATGAAATGCGTGCATTCGAAAACGTAAAGATACACGTGTTTACGTTAACCTAACCTAACTTTCGACGTAGATCATTTTGCGAGCGATTATTTTATTATTTTTTTTATTTTATTTTATTATTTTATTTTTTATTAAGTTCTTTTTTTAACAATTCTATTCTTAAACGCCCGATTGATGACAACTTTCATGAGAGATCATGACAACTTTGTGAAGTTCTGCGCATGTGCGTATATCAACCCACCGGTCAAACTCGACTTTTACCTGCGGTTGGGATAACTTCCCTTTAACCGGAACTTTATTACTCAACCGTAGGTCGTACAACGCAAACTAACGGTTAACCGGAGGTTGACAGTGAACCTACTGTCAACCGTACATTGTAAAACCGGCCCTAAGGAACACAACGCTTTTTCTTTTATTATTAGTACATCGTCGAACGTTAAATTGTTTTACGTGATTATCTCATGCAAGGTAAGTCATGCTTCTATTTGTTTTTGTTATATAAATCACGTTGTTTAATATTTTTTCTTATTAAAAGTATAAAAAAAAACTAAAATTATTTTTATTTTGAATCAAAGCAAAATCAAATTTTATAACAAACACAGTACGTCACGTACATTATAATGATTTTAAAAATATTTCGAGAAAGCAAACACCGGAAGTTATAAAGTGGGGACACACACAACGGAAACACAGTTATTCCTTATCGTGTCGTTTATAATCTTCAGGTGCGGTACAGCAGCGTTTATCTTGACAAAGACGATTCGAGGAATCCCTACTATTAACATTATCAGACGCTGTCTTCGTCATTTTACGGTATCTCTTATTCCTCCTATTTTCGCGGTGATTTAAATCATTTAAGGAAAACGATTTTAAACTCACTGGTTTACAATTTTCCGCAATATCTTGGTACTTTTGTTGTAACGAAGACACCTTTCCTTTCGATCGCTTCAAATCACTTATCAAATGTAAAAAAATTGGCCGAAGACGCCTTATACTTTCAATACGTTTCTTGAATCTTCGGTGGTGAAATTCGTGTAATTGTTGATGCGTTGCGATGTATATTTCCGAATGGCTCGCCATGTTTTTAGGAATTTTTGAAAATTTAGTAAAAACTAAAAAAAAATTTAATTGACAAATACTATTGTGATTAAATTGTTTCCATGGAAAGAAACTTATTAATCTCATAGCATTTAAAAAAAATGTTGCAAAGAAAATGTAGTTGTGCATAAATTCTGAAACTGAACTCGTTTTTCACCATTATTATTGATTTTTATATAGTACCCTCATAGGGTTTGCACGTGTTTATGAAAATTACTTCCTGTATCGATCCGCTCGTCTAGGCACACCTGTAAATTTGTGATAAATATACTAACGTTGTATGACTTTTTAAAAACTTGCTTTTCCTTTGTTTTGCAATAATGTTTTTTAAACACCTTTCCGTGCAGTATTTCTGTAATGCAACAATTAAGTTGATTTGTATGCATTACATTCACACATTTCTAATTTTCCTTGCATAAATGTTTCCTATNTCATTATAGATACAAAAGCTCAACATGGTAGTGATTTTTTAAAAACACTAATAATTGACGTTTTACGTGAATATGACATTAAATTCCAACAAATTTTAAGTATTGTGACAGATAATGCTAGCAATATGAAGACGACTATTGATAAATTAAATCTAGATGAATCACTCCAAAATCATAGAAGTAACGACGACAATGTTGATGACGAAGAAATTGTAATTGATTTAGAAACGGAAGAAACGGAATATATTGCACTTGCTAGTCAACTCAAAATAAATCACATGCGCTGTGCTGCTCATACTTTACAGCTCGCAATAAGAGATGGTTTAAAAGAGGTTCATGCAACACAATTGATTGGCAAAATACGAAATATTGTAGTAATATTACGGAATCCGAAAATTGATGGCTTACTTAAACGGAAAGCAGGGAAAGGAGCAATTATTGATCAACCTACACGATGGGGTAGTACA